ATCTCTTGGACCACTTGAATACCATGTTATTTTCGGGAGGGAATGGCTAGTGCCCACCATAAAAAAAAAGTTGGGAAAATTGCAGTACCTTTTTAATACTTTGAGAAGCAGCAAACCTCAAAGCCTATCTCTTCTTTCAAAACTGCCTGACAGAACCAAAATGATATAAAACGTTGATATCCTTAATTGTTTAACAACGATCGTTATGCTACAGATCTTAGCTCACATAGCTCATTAATTGACATATAGCTCACTAATTGAAGCAGTAAATGCTCTACTAGCATATGATTCATCTGCGGCCCATTCTTGCCTATCTTAAACATCTTATACCGCTAATTCAGAAGTCAAACAACAAAAATCAGCGTTATATTTTCAAATTCTAAGGACTAGTTTCGATGGTTTTACCGACCCATCATCCTCAGCTGCAAAACCGCAAGAGCGAGCTGAGGATGATGGTTCGGTAAAACCATCGAAAATAGTCCTGCGAAAATTTGAAAATATAACGCTGATTTTTGTTGTTTGACTTCTGAATTAGTATTTGTTCTGCGTGTTATTGTGTCTTAATCTTATACCACTTACAAACTTCGGATTTCGATAAAATGTTGTCCTCAAAGGTTTTATGCATTAATCAATATTATATTTGTAACAGAACATTCATTGCGAAAACAAATTAATGCTTCTTAATAAGGAACATGCATTTAATTCTTTATTCATAATCATAATATGGGAAATCGCCAAAAAAAATTCTTTATTCATAAAAATGAGTTGCTTTGCAAACGATAAAAGAAGTGAAAAATTAATGGTTGCTAGTTGCTTTGAAAGCAATTTCTGAAGGATTCCTGAAGGCCATTTTTTGAGATGCGCTTATTTTAAAATGATGTAATCCTATTACTTCTTGATCACAGTAATCGAACCGCGGACCTCTGGAATACCGGCCCAGTGTGGAGAACCACTGCACCACGAAAGCACGCCAAGAAGGTGGGAGAAATACCTTATAACACATAACGATGTACTGCACTGATTTTCAAAATTAAGAGAATTTTCACATTTCGTAGATTATCTTCGAAACTGATAGACGGATTACATTTGTTATATTGGTGTGGACATAAGTTGTAATATAACATAAGAAACGTACAGTACAACAGGTAACAGGTCCCTGGTTCCCTCCAGGCGAAGGTATATCTTGAATCAGTTGTAAAGCTGAAACGGGACTCATCTGGGAAGTTCCTTATGTGAGGCCTGATCACCCTATTTAACAATCTTTCTTCGCTTTATTATTTGTTTAATAAATTTCTTTTTTTCACTGTCATGCTGTTTCTTAATCTCGGCATTTTTGTTATTGATTACAAATTTTCTTGCTTTATTTCTTTCCTTTGTTAATCATAAATGTACTTTTCTTTCTCCATGTACTCTATTCCTCCTTTTCAACGAGAACTTTCCTTCCTTTCAGACATTTTCTTTTATTAATAAACTTCTTTAAAAGACAGATATATTATGTTTAATTTTTCATCATCTAATCTTTAAATGAATCTCCTGCTGTTTTATTACTACTACTTTCTTTCTATCTAGCAATTACTCTTTAAGAAGCCCATCGATGTTTTAGTTTTATACCACATTATGCTGGATTTCTTCTTACCATAGCTTACCTTTTTATTAAATTTTGCCATATGTTTTATTCCTTTGAGAATCTGAAAGATTTTATCATTTAATACTTTCTATTTTTATCGAAATACGCTAAATTAATAAATAAATAACAAGGATCGGTAGATTGATGAAGTAAAAGATTAAAAGTATTTGTTAGTGATATTTAGTTTTCCATACATTGTAAAATTTCACACCATAGAGTAATTATAAAGTAAAAAATGTAGAAATAAAGAAGAAATAACTACCGACTTAAACAGCATAATTTAAAAAATGAGGTTATGAGCTTCTAGTCGAAGATCAGACTTTTATGTTGTAATAATTATACACCTTAACGAAATTGGATTAAAATAAATTAAACACAATACAGGATTTAATACGGAGTTTTCTGATTCAATTAATTTAAATTTAATCAGATATAATTATAAACCCATTAATTTGAATTAATCGGATTTAATTGTAAATGAGGAGCATTTTGATTCGAAATTTTTAAGTATATAACACGGAATAAGACTAAATCCAGTGATACTTTGAAAAAAGTTCTGCTTCCTCCAACAGGATAGCCACAAAGTAAATATATTTGGTTCATAATATGAAGAAAAAAAAAAAAAAAAAAAAAAAAAAAAAAAAAAAAAAAAAACTAAATCTTTATTTGCTTCTATTTCATTCATACTTTTTACGATATTACTATATATACTAGTCAATCTTCACTCAATTTAAAACATATAAGGATTGTTGCAGAGAGATTCCTTCAAAACATCACATGCGCAAAACATATAAGGTATTTTCTCCCTCCGTTCTGCATGCCTTCGTGGTGTAACGGTTCCCAATCTCGGCGCGTATTCGAGAGGCTCAGGTTCGAGTCCCGGTGAGGGCATTGCTCATTTTTCATGTCTCCTACTTCAAAATATCTTAATGACGCCCCAGTGGCGCCCGAAAATACTTTCTGCCTCCATTCTGCATGCCTTCGTGGTGTAACAGTTAGCACACTCGACGCGTATTCGAGAGGTACGGGTTGCTTATATTTCGAGAGGTACCCAGCGAGGGCATTGCTTATTTTTCATGCACTTCTGCTTCAAAAAAGCAATACAAATACCTCAATTAATATATTCAAAACGGTTACAAATTGAAAATTCAAATATTTAAGCAAGCTCTACTAAAATAACTTTTAGCGGATTTTGTTAAATTAATTAAGTGTTCAAATAATGTAAATCTTCCATTGATGAATGTTTTTTCTTTTGATGAAGGAAGTCCTTAATTGAGATATTTCTATTTCCTAATTTATTGTCGCTACTGAAAATATTTTTTTCACTTTCTGCTGATGAATGAAGAATACATGATATAGCCTTACCTGGTGTCATTAAATCAGGAAATTACTGTAATTCTGCAGAATGTTTTTCATTCCTACAGAACTCGATGGATTTTTTTTCCTTTTTCAATCATTCCAACCTTGTCACTCTCTATAAAACTCTGAATATTTGTTTTCTTCGATAATACTCTAAATCTACAGTAAGAGATATTGCATTGTAGACATAGACTACACACAAAAGCACGTTTAACAAAACTAAAGCACTTTTATTCTTCCTCTTAAAGAAATGCCCTTTCACCCTACTGCGACAACTAGATATGCATCGCAGTTCTTATAGCATGGATGATATCTCATTGCTGAAGTTTCAACGTTAGCATCACTTTAAATTTCTTACTACTGCTATTCACAGAGGCTTACGCAAAATTTTCGATGAGCTTTAATGAAAAGTGAAACTTACTAGCATAGTGAGTAAATTTCATAGCAAATTATGCCATTAGAAATGACTAATAATACTAAACGTACAGGGGAGTCATAAAAAAAGTCCCGATATATGAAGCCCTAGCGGCCTATCCACTCAACCAATCGAAATGAAATTTCAGAACTGTTATTTGAAGGTATGCGTTCGAGACTGTGATGATTCAAAATAACTCACGGTTACGATTACAGTGAAACATTTCGACATTTTAGAATGGCAACACCCACTTTTTTCCTGAGCAAATTGGTCAACGCATTATAAAACCTAAATGATGTTGGAACAATACACGTATGGCGAAAATTGCCAGGATTAAATATTTCCAAAGAACTCATAGAGAATAACGTATAGAGGAGCTGCATTGACACACTTTACGTAATTCAGAGAAAGATAGTACAAGGGTTCACTGTACTGACAAAAATACTTTCTCCCTCCATTCTGCTCATGATATGGCACCAGTGCCTATACGCAAAGCTAAAGTGACTGTGATGTGTGATAACAAGCACATTTTTATCGGTTGTTAATGTCATTGTATAGATGCAAGATAGTGCTCCTTTGCCACACGCTTTCGACAAGTGCTGCAACAGCATATTGTAGATAATCGCCTGCTATAACTTTGCAATTTTGTGACTTTTTTGACACTTGTGCAGTTTTGGATCTTCCGATTACACTCTGCTTGTTTTCTGATTCTGGAATTATCTGAAATCTGAGGTATACATATCAAATCCACGAGATTTATCAGTATTGAAAGATGTCATAAAATGTGAAGTTATACAAATTCCTTCTGAGATGTTAGATTCGTCATTGTTTCAAAAATCTCACGCATGTAATGCGATATCGTCTGCAAAGGTGAGCACGCTGAAAATTTGTAATTTGCAGTAGACGTTTTTTCCCTCTCCTCCTTTTGTGTTGCCGCTGTTCTTTGCAAGAATTTTATGTCGGCAATTTTAGTTATGCATGTATCGTTCCAACGCCCTTTATGGTTTTTCAATTCGCTGATCAGTTTCCGCAGGAAAAAAATTGTGTGTTGCCATTCTAAAATTTCGAAATGTTTTCACTGTAACTGTAACCATGAAGCTCTGTTATTTTAAATCCTCACGATTTCGAGCACATACCTTCAGATAACAATACCTTAAATTTCATTTCATTTAGTTAAACAGATGGGCTGCTAGGTGTTTAGATATCGGGGAAGTTTTAATGACTACCCTGTATATACGTCGATAATAACTTGTGCTAAGCATTTTATATTAATAATATTATAAGGAATTACGTATTTTGTTTCTAATAATTTAGTTTGTTATTAGAAGTATACTATTATAATATGATAGTTCTCAGACTTGGCAAGCCGCCAAAATACTAATCCAAGTTGATGTTCAGAATTAGCAATTTACCATCTCGCTTGAATGATCCGAGTACACGACGAACTGCTAATATAAAGTGAAATGGGGAAAGACTATACATGTTTCTAAATCAGAATCATTGTTGGATATATTTAAATTGTTATTTTTCATATGAAAAAGTACTTTATATTTTTTACAAGCTGTTATTCGCTAAAATTTATCCTTTCTGTGTAGGTGCGTTGGCTCTGAAAATAAAAGAACTGAAAGTCCCACCTACCATTCAAATGGGAGAGAGGGTCAGGCTAGAGTGCGTCTTCGATGCAGAACACGAAGACCTTTACTCTGTAAAATGGTACAAAGATGACGAAGAGTTTTTTCGTTTTCTGCCTAAAGATAAACCAGCTAATCAGTTCTTCGAAATCCAAGACATTCAGGTAGATGTAAGTACACGTTGTTTATAATGTCTAATTGTGATCCTTTAGGAGGAGAAAAACTCCTTCTAATCTTTCAAATTGCACGCTAAGTTCTATGAATATGTTTCAAAATCCTAGTTAGTTAGCAATAATAGAATTACGGTTTGCACTTTAAAATGAAAGAAGAAAAGTTCCACTTTTTAACATAAGCAGATAATTACAGATTGCAGAACCTTCGCGCTCGTGATTCAAGAAGCACACCTACAATCTCGTTTCCCTTCTATTTAAACTCAATTACTTCTGCTAAAAATTTGAATACTCTGCTCATTCTACTAAAATTTACATACTCTGGCATTGGCAATTCCAGGGGGAAAGTAAAGGCTTGACAGGAAAGATAGCTTAAACTTAAAATAAATGTTAGTTAAAATAAATATAAACCCTACAAGGTTAATCTCGATACCTATGGGAAGAAGCAAAATTGTTTTATTATGCGGATATGCATATTATGTTTTGAAAATGGCAAGATGACTAGGTGAAACAGTTGACCAAATCATGAGAACTCAAAAATTATTAAACTTTAAATCAGATGAAAAATTTAAATTAAACGTGTAGGATTCCCCACTGTGTAATTCTAAGTTACAGTTAAAAGTGAAGAATCTTAAGAACTAGTAAGCGATTAATAGCTTGAGTTGTGATACAGTGAATAAACTTTGAAAGGGTTAAAAAACCCTTTATTATTCAAATAAGATTTAACAGAACTCCGTCTTGGAGTTGTACAATAAAGCCGACACCCGGGCTTCAACTTAAGAAGCTAAGAACTAAACTAAACTAATCTTAACTAAAACGATATAGCCAAAGCTATCAAAATTCTAACAGAAGTGGCCCCTTAACTCTAATTGACTGCGAAGCTTTTAAGGGCCTAAAGTACAGCCGAGCGTAATAATAGCTTACGAGAGAATAGCCTAAAAAGACGGACGCCTGCAGCCAGAATATCTGGTATCTCTCTCTCTCTAAGACAGTAGAACCGCTCTTCCTCATTAGCATACAAACGTAATTCTAAAACTACGTTCTGGCCGGAAGTGGTAAGTTGAAATTAAGAAGCGACATAAAAGGAAGTTTAAATCAAAATTTAACTGTTAATAAAATTAACTAAATTCTTACAAACGTATCAAATATTTTTCGAAATAGTTTTTAAAGTTTATTTAATTAACCAATTATCTGTGACGTAATTTTTTTCTCAACTTCCATTTTTTCCCTTGACTTTTAACAGAATGAAGACTAGGTTTAATTTTTAAAATATTTTGCTATAGTAGACTGGCTAGGCTGGTTTTCTGTTGTGCTATCATTTCTGCTGCGTTTGAACCACACTATTGCGAATTACTGCCCCGATGATACTTTTGAGAGTCTCCCTCACAGTATAGCGTTAAACCGAGTGAATTATAGTGTAATCGTGCCTTAGTAGAAGTGATAATGTTCTTGCAACATAAATATTATGTGTTAATCTGGAACCAAGCCGACGACGATAATTCTTGAAGGCAAAGTAAGCTTAAGTAGGTACGAAAAGCAATCTTAATCCATACCTCACAAGTTCTATGTGTTTCTTTTCCGAGTTCGTGAAACATAGCCTCATTACGACTTCTGCTATACCTCTCACTCGTTCGATCTTACTTTGCAGAGATTTGTAATGTGTGTCAAAGGTTGTTATCAGAAAATATTTATTCTCTAGACGTAAAATCTAAATTCTATGAGCAAATCAAAAGCATTCATTTAAATAAATAATAATTTCATTAATCATAATAAATAATAATCATAATAATTATTTATAATAAATGATAATTTCATTTTTTGCATAATTTTGTAGTTATGTGTACAAAGGTGTGCAATTCTAGCTGTGTTAAAATGATTATAACACATTTTTACAGTGTGAAATTATATTAAAGGCCTTTTTCTTCATTTAAAATAATAATGTCTTCAAAGAAATTAGAATCAATAATTATCTTTTATCTCAAGTTTTATTAGTCATTTTCCTATTAAGAATATTAAAATCGTACTTAAGTTTTGAGGTTCAAAACAAATAAATTTATCTTAGGTTAACTTGTTCTCCTGAGTTAAACACCGTTCATCAAAATGGTCTGAATCAATTTTCGAATTATCTTATTTAAATGGTAAAATGTTTCGTGTGAGAATGAATTTAATATTATCGAAAGCCATGGGTTTTAAAGATTATAGTTCTAATTTCGGCAGCTTTCTTTAAATAATGCATCAGATAAAAACCGTAATGCTATAAGGTATTTGTCCCGCCTTTTTAGCATGCCTTCTTGGTGTAGTGGACAGGACGCTCGACGCGTATTCAAGGGGTCCGTGGTTCGAGTCCCGGGAAGGCACTGCTCATTTTTCATCTTGCCTGCTTCGAAATAACCTAATATGTTTTTTCAGTGGCGCCTGAACTAAAAGGTGATGAATGATGATTCTTCACTACCAGGATTTGGCGATTGGGCCCCGAAAATCCCAATCACCCTTTAAAAGGGGGAATATATAAGGTATTTCTCCCGACTTCTTAGCATGCCTTCGTCCGACGCGAATCCGAGAGGTCCGTGGTTCGAGTCCCGGCAAGGGCATTGCTCATTTTTCATACCTCTTACTTCGAAATAACCTAATGTCTCTATCAAAAGACAAAATTTATGTAGCGATTGAAATACGCAATAAAAATATTCTGCCTGATATATGCCGTATTTCAAAGTAGTTGAACGAGTGACGATTTCCTTTATTTTCATTGGGTTTGACTCCAGGCTTCATTCAACAAATTCAAATATATTCTTTCCACAATTTCCTCTCTGATACAGTGTGAAACCTTGCATTGTAGTGTCGTTTAGTGACTTAATATTTCCGTACCAAAACGTTGAAAATGTTTTTAAGAGTTATGAGATCTTCATTGCTCACTTGGATGTTATTTTTGTAAATTGGAAAAAAAATTAATTTAAACACTAAAAAATAAATCAGTAGTTCTGGAACTGCTCCTACTAATGAACAAGAAAGTTATACGAAATGCGTTTCAATAAAACATAAAAAATAACACTGATAAATTATTTCCTTAGCAACTTATAATTACATTTTTGCTTTTTCATCAGGCAGTTACTGATTTAATGTATAAATTCCTGTTTTACTGAATTCTAAACATCTAGCAACAGCATAGATATGAATATCAAAGCCTGATGCGAATCCGATGAAAGTTCTGTTCATATCTCCTCTTCTCCAAAATAAAAAATAAGGAATATCACTAACGATACTCTTCTCTATTTTTATTAGGTGGAGAAAAAGATCTCTATTTATTTTAAATTCTCTACTATTTTTAGGTTCGTATTAAAATAAATACTGAGTTTAATACCTTTAAATTACAAAAGCAATGTATTTAGATTAATTTTTTTAATAACTCGTAATTAATTGCTGAAGTTCGGAAAGTATCTTTTTCTCCTAATTCAGTAATTTCTCTCTTTCAAATAAGAAATTGCTTTTCTAAGACTAAAATTTTGACGAAATGTTACCTTAATTGAATTTGAATTTCTAATAGTGACTTATTCACAAAGTACTCAAAAATATCATAAAGGTGCTTAATTTTTAACATAATTTACAGAATTCTTTCATTACTAATGTGAATTTCTTCTCCTAGATAAAAATCCTAGATAAAAACATGTATATATATCTAATATATCTATTTAGTTCTATATATATCTATCTAGTTCTTCCTAAATTTAAAAATACGATGCATTTCAAGCACAGGATTATATTTTTTTGAATTGCCATGAATACTAGCGTAAAATAAAAATTTTCTTACCTTCAAATCTTGAAATTTGATATATTTAAAGACAAACTGCCACTTTTCTATATTTAATAAATTTTGTAACATTTATCACTTTTTTTAGAATCGCATTTGAATTAAAATGCAACATGTAAATTTGGCTAATATTTGACACATTACGCAAAATGATATTAAACAGAAAAATATAATTTCTATGATTTTAAAAGAACATGAAAGTTCAGCTTTTATTCACGTAGAAATAGAAGAAATCCTCGATATTGTCACATCAGTTGAAGACAATGTCTCTGAAAGTGAATAAAATGACACATTTCAATCCAATAGTGAAAACACCTGGTCCCCATCAATAGCTGAGTAGTTAATACTGCTGAATAGTGGGAGAATGTTTCAGCTGCATGATTAATTTACCGCACGTATAAAGTGAATATCACCCTGTTTCCTTTAGATGATCCACCACGAAGACATCCTTATCCCTAGGCGGAGAGAGTCTTCGTGTACTTTCCTATATCCAATTAACCTAACCATCAAAATCCTGGCGTAGTGCAAAACAAGAAAACGAAGCGTAGCTTCTAATATGTGTAAAACTAATTTAGGCTAGAAAACGTTTGCAGAATTTACATCATTGAGAGAAAAATCTCCACAAGGCTCGTGATCGAAAAAAACTATTTAAAAAATTAAGAACCTTGTGATAAAATTTTTCAGGAAGCTATAAAATAAAAAATCTATGTGGATGATTCTGATTTGAAATGCTAATCGTGCTTTAAATCTGTAGAGTATATCGTTTTCTGCATCGGAATCGAAACGAACAAATTTAAACATTTACTTAATATTGTGAGCAGAAAAATAACGATGAATATCTCATGCCGGCATATCATTGAAAATACCAATACTTAGCAAACTACAGTTTCTTTTATGAATAATGTAGACTTTTTATAAAAGAATTGCTGTTCGAATTTAATTATGAACATTAAAATGATATCTAATCTAGAAATTCATTCAGAACGCACACCTGATTACTTGAAATCCTACCTAATTAGAAACACTGTTCAATCTGCCAATTCATTGACGCATTACCACGGGATGACATGTACTACCAGTATAAATGGCAAAGGATTGTAAATTTGTTTCTGATAGTTCCTGAACAAATAAGCACTTCAGAACTACTGCATAGAAAGGAATGTTTCTGGCAGATAATATTCATGTTATCTTTTGCATCGAAAGGCCCGGGTTCGAATACCGAAGTAACATATATTAGGCATTAATGCACTTTGTCCGGACGTAACGGTGGCCGACCTGTTAAGTGGCCACCGTTACTTCCGGACAAAGTGCAATGTGGCCAGCGCCCATAACGGCGACTGGAAAAAAAATTGCATTATTGTGCATTTACCGTATTAAAGGGCATTTACCATACGAGATCTTTCTGCAGTAAAAATATTTTCAAAATTTTTCTGACAAAAACATACATATCCTGCTTTTTATCACTTTATTTTTAGTTCATATTTTTGCTGCTTGAATCGATCACCTTTGATGCTTTCTGGATTTTTAAAATATATTTTGAAAACTTCAGAAATCGTAAAATTATCACTGCATTATCAAATCTTGTCATTCACTTTTCGCAGATTTTAACTACTTATCTACAGAATATTAGCAGCTTATTTTTTTACGATCATAGATTTTTAGATAAGCAGATTGATATATATTTTATTAAGACAAAGTGAGAGTTCAGTGTTGGGAAACATTCCTTGCAAGTAGTTTTTCAGCTGTCTTCAGCGAGTATAAGCAGCTAATTCTTACTATTTAGATTAACGTATGAGGGTTTAAGAGGAAATTCGCATTTTGTATCTTTATATACTAATAAACAGACATGTATTTCCTTTCCCATGCCCACTAGTGACCATGTGCTAATGTTTCTGAATAGTAGAAGTCCGGTTAGGGGTTCGAATCCTAGCAAACGGGCTGTATACATGGACGTTTTCGAGGTTTTTGTAATGTTTAATGTGTATACGAGCCAGTTTCCCTTAGAAAGCCCTTCACGAAGGCTGTTCTTTCCTTAGGCAGAAATCCCTCGAGTGCTTTCCCGCAATTAAATAAACCAAAATAAACCTAACTTTTCCAAAATACAGCTGATAGTTTTATAAGAATATTTACGGTATTATACTAATGAGAGATTTCCTTATATTTGAAATATATTTTTAAAAGTTCTTATAGATCTAAAAATCTTAGCATAATGCTAATTTTGCTTTAGCAAACAATATATAAAATTTTCCATATGCTTAAGTGAAACATTCGGGAAAATATTATAAAGCTTTTAAGGGGCCAACTGCTAAGCTAATAGAGTCATTAATCCACAAATTTCGGTTGTTTTTAATAGGCTACGTTTTTATGAAACAATTTTGTCATCAAACAATGAATTAATGTTTTGTAGTTGTTCCATAAATTTTCTCTCAAATTTTGGTAGGCAACTGCATGAAAAGTCTTCTAAATTAGCAACTTCTTTCTTGAATAATGTTATCTAATTTTGCATGCAAAGGCACAAAACATTTTTATTCAACTTACCAAAGCATAATGAACGTTCTGTTAACGTATTTTGTTGCTCAACTGAGACCGTATAAAAAGTTAAATCCAGTATTTAGAGAACTTTTTCGTTCACAATACTGAAACTATCGTCATTACATTCATTATTTTATTTTTAACGAACTTTGTATTTGGAACTACAGCTCCAGTAAAGGTACTTAAACAGATTCTGCAGCCACCTTTTGCTAATAACATTTATACAGATGATCTAATAGTGTAAGAAGTTTGAAGGAGAGATTTTCCACATAATGTGGTATGGTATGGTATATTTAATTTTTGAAAAGCACTCTAAGGCTAGCTACTTAAGGGAAGGGATGCCTTTGTGGAGGTCTTCTTAAGGGAAACTGCATTTAAACACATGGGGAAAACAACAGAAACGCCCATGCAGCCAGCCCGTTCGCCGGAATTCAAACCCTGGTTCGAAATACCAGGTTCAATGGCTTTAACGCTCGGCCACTGGTTCGGCGACATAATCTGGTTAACACTTCTTTTGTGACTTGTGTTGGTATATTTCGGATAATTATCCCACTTAGCCGAGGCACCATAATGTATTCAGTAAATCTTTATTAAAACTCTTTAAAACTATGCGTTTATTTAAAATTTTATTAAACTGATTGTGCAGAAGCGATTAAAAGGAATCGGCAAATTTCAATTGCTCTTAAAATGCTACTCAATATAAAACTCAGGTCAGAATTCTAAGCTTTCTAACATATTATGAAAGTTCTGCTAATTAGTCAAAGTAATCCAAATATTATATTTCAGATGAGTCGATCATCTAATGGTACAGTCTACTTACAAAATACAAGCAGAGCGGCTGAAGGTACTTACAGATGCGAAGTTTCTGCAGATGCACCTTCATTTCAGTCCATATCAAGTGAAAAATTTATGGCGGTGATAGGTAAGTCCGCTTTTCCAGCTTGTTGAAATTGCTTAATAATTCTTGTTCATTAATTTAATTATTTTACCAAAGCAAACTCTATGAGACAAGACTTTTATTTTTGTCTCATGGAGTTTGGTATACAAAAACTAAAAATAAACTTCTATTTCAATTAACAAAACCTGCTCTTGAAATCATTGTAACATTTAAACCAGTAATATAAAATCTTTGCTTCTTATGATCACCAAATCGAATGTTGATTTAAAAATTTATATGTTTCTTACAGCGAGTTTCTGAACTCGTATATTTCTTTCTAGGAATTAAATATTCAAAATAATTTTCAGTACTTAAATTGTTATGCAGATAAGCAAGTATTTCTTTCCGCTACCCATTTAGGTATAATTAGTTTCATATACTTCAAAACACGTTGCGGTAAAATTAGTTACCTTTCTCTTAATGAAAAACACAAAATTTAAATGTATTACTTGATTTCAAAAATTTCACTGGGCAAGTATATAGAGCATTAATTATTGTAATTTTCTATTTTATAACGATCTAATAATCAAATTTATGCAAAGCAATTTCGCTTAATTCAAAATATAAATTTGTACAGCTACGATTTCATAAAACATATCTAGAGGCGTAGCATGTTCCCTTGTCTGTATGACGGAGGACTTCAAATTCTCTCCATGCTTACTATAATTAACTCCTAAGGGACTGGCAATGATGTAGTACTGAGTCCGGTAGACAGTTCATGTTATTTCCTTACTAAATACAGAGTCGAAGGCTAATACACAGAAATGCCACTGAATTATTGATAGCTAATCAATAACGAGTTGCTCCTCCTCTGGTTTTTAAAATCACTGCCAGACGACAAAGCATAGATTCAATAAGTTTCTGGAAGCATTCTACGGGAATGGCTTGCCAAAAACCGGATAGAGCTGTCTATAATTTAAATAGACTCGATAGTCTTGTGTGATGAGGTTTTAAACTTTTCTCCAAAACGTCCGAAAGATGCTCAGTAGAATTTACTTCAGAGCATTTAAATAGCCTGTTTATGCCTGAGAAGTCAGAAGTCAGAAGAATGCTCACCCAACCAGGCAGTAGCCAACCGGTACCTGTGAGAGGTGCAGTTATCATGATGGGATACTCCCTTTCCGTGTGAATGACAGGGCAACATGAATGGATGGAGATGATTGTCCAGCAATTCCACGTACCGAATCATATTGAGGGAAGTTGGTTACAAGTACCAAAGATCCCAAACACTGCCAAGAGAAAACACTTTAGACCATGATTAAGCCACCATGGCTTTTTACAGTTCCAATGTGCCATACAGGATTCATGGCTTCGTGAGACTGACGCCATATTCTCAGCCTCCCATCGGCATTTAATTAGTCGGAATCAAGACTCCTCACTCTTTGCTATTCATTTCAAGTCCACTAAAGTATATTCTTTGTATTCTCTTGCCCAGGCAAGAAGTGCAGTTCAATGACATTCATTCAGGAAATCATGGTGAAGCGAGTATTGCACAATCCGTTTTTTGACTATACGACTATCGCTCCTATTCATCTGGGTCGTAATTTGAGATATTTGGCTTCGTTGAATGTGTACAATACGCCTGAGTCGTTTCACACCACACTTGTTCTGGGTTAATTGTCCTTTGCAATTTTCCCGATCTCTAGTTCTTTTTCCCCCATCCGCGTATTCTCGGTATACGCGTGACTTTGTCGACCTTGAAAATTCTAGCCCGCTGAGGATTTTGGAAATTGAATGGGCCATGCGTCGAATGCCTACTATCTGTCCGCGATCGAAGCTGTCTAAATTAGAAGTTTTACCCATACTGTTAATTGAAAAGACTGATTGACAACAACCATAGTACTAACTATATGTGCATTTAACACAACTTCCAAACGTGAGCACAGTGCGGCGCAGCGATATAAAATTTGCATAGCCATGTCAATCTCTAATTCAGTGGCACTTCAGTGTAGTATTACATAACTTTCGAATAGGAGAGATATTAATGGCCAAAGCTTGTCGAAGCCTTATAGAACGTTAGCTGATGATAGATATATAATTTTATACCTTTTCGTGTTGAGAAATAGTATTTATTACATCCTGAAAGTATTTTAATTAAATGTATTGCAGTACTGCACCGATATTCCGCCCTGTTGTCTCTACACCAGTTATGAATATCAAACGTGTCTGGCTGTTGTTGCTATAAGCTATTCGAACGAAAGGTAACATAATCAACCAGATTGTCACGCCGTCAAACGAAGAAGAACCATTGCTTAAACAAAAGCCAGACTCATTAAGGAACAATATTCATATCTCCATGTCCAATTATGATTTTGAAGAAATCTACTCAGTTTTCGCTCAAGAAACACGTTTTAGTTTGATAAAAAAATTAGATTATTTAATTATGACAACGCACGTGAGGGCTATTTGCCTGAAGGAACGGATGCGTTCATGGATGACTTTCTGAGTCAAACTGGTTTGTATTTACATTACATATGAAGAAAATAATGAAAAACAACCACGAAGCTAGTTCGTTTGCCTGGGCTCGAAATCTGGCCGAACTATTAGTACTCAGCAATTTTGATATCATGGCGACTCGCAGGGTTAATGTTTGAAAGAAAATTAATGAAAAGATGATAAATAGTTTAGCAGTATTCTTTTGTTCGAGTTAATGCAAATTCCAAGTTCCACAAGTCTCCGCGATTAGCATGCTAAATGCATATTGCTTCCCCGTTATCTTGATGTGATTGTCCCAGTTACCGCTTGTAGTATAATGATTAGTTGGTCGATCAGTCCAGGAAGGCAGCTAGGATGGATGGAGGGGCACATGGATGGGTTGAGTTAAAATATGAAAATAAAATACATCTGTATAAAGTAGCGTCATAACTGTACAAGACCTTTTCATCCACGAAAGCCCCATACTATATTAGAAATGAAGATTTACATCGCGAACTTCATATTGATTATATCAAAGACTACTTATCCAAGCTAAATGGAAACCTTTTCAGGAAAGCAAAGACCAATAATACAGCTAACTTTGCATATATTCAGAGCTAGGAAATCATCCCGGACGATTTGCTCATCAGACCTTATGCTGCACACTTAATTCGGTAAGCCAATAATTAATTTTACTCGTCAGTACTCTGTACTTTTGCTCCGATGACTGGCAGATGATCCGCACTTTACTCGTATGCATCTTTCTACATTATCTCTTCTGACAAGCATTCCAACTAGATTTCGACCAGCAGGCTACGAGCATCTCACGGACTTTTAGGTGTAACTACTTTGGACTTGTTCTTGTTTGGATCAGTGTTGCAAATAGCTCGTGTCAGCTCCTGAGCCCAGGCAAAAATTGCGCCTTATTGCTTTGTCTCCCTCTTACTTCTCTTCTCAGAGGAAACTCAATAAGGAATTTTCTAAAACCAGGCTTCGTATGGAACTCTTATCATGACTGGGAAGTATTGCTCCGACAATAGAAACCCATTTCAACACAGTATATCGCAGTATCACAAGACCTTTTCATGAGGTTAAGTGAGATAGTCCCGCCTTTCACTGAGGATGAAAGCTGCATGGGGGCGAAGAGATCTATTTACGTTGAGCACTTCGTAGTGAAAAGTTCGAAAAAACTTCATTTGGTCACAAAATTGAGTACTCTCGAAGAATTTTTTGCTAGATTTTCTGAGAAAGTTATCGAGTGTATCCAGTTTAAAGTCAACATGTAGAAGTTTATTTCGAACAAAATAGTGTGCATTAGTGCAGATCCTTAAAAATCTGTTTTGCACAACTTGAAGCTTAATGAGGAGTAGCTGTAGCCCAAGCTGGTGAAGTATAAGTCATCAAGGTTCTAATACTTGAAATGTAGATGAGTTTTTTCTTTGAAAGGTCACGTTTTGAGTATTTCCTATGATGGGAAATAAATACTTCATGATTGCTTTGCTTCTCACGCGATGAATGTGATGTGACAGCGTAAATTTGTCATTAATGATTATTCCTATATATTTAGCCTTTCGAACAATGGGTACCGGCTCGTTGAATAGGAAGAGATTTTTCTTTGGCTTTAAATTCTGCTTTTTCCGTCTAACAAGCAGGATCTGTGACAAATGGGCGTTAATGCGTATTTTCTAATGGGTACACAACTATTCATACTCGGAATGATGGTTTGCAGCATTTTAATGTGTCGTTGATGTTGGCTGATTTTACCGCCAAAGCGGTATCATCCGCATAACAGGCTAGGATAGCATTGTTGTTAGGTTGAACCCTAGGGAAGTCTGCTACATAAAACAGATAGAGTACAGGGCCAATTACTGATCCCTGGGGCACTCCACTTAGGGTTTTTCTGGAAGCAGATAAAGCGCCTCTGGCGAAAGTCCTAAAGTTTCTATTCGAGATGAATGAATGGATGAACAGGATAAGTTCTGGATCTAGTTGGAAACTGATGAGCTTGGCAATGAATCCCTCATGCCATATGCGGTCGAAGGATTTTACCACGTCTAGCAGGAGAATAGCAACATTCATTTTGGAGTGCAGGGCTGCCCCTGCGTACTCTGTTATGCTTATAAGCTGTTATGTAGTGGATAGATGTTCATGAAATCCAAACTGCTCAGGAAGTAGAAGCTTGAAATAAGGTTTCATTCTTGCCAGTATTACGCTTTCAAACACTTTACCTAGACTAGGCAAGAGGCTGATCGGGCTACAACTGTCAGGTTGTATATGACTCTTACCCGGTTTCGGTATCATAATGATTTTAGCCTCTTTCTATTGTTTTGGAATGTATGAGATTGTGAGACAGTGCATTTGGCGAATTTACCAATCGCGTGCATGGAGAAGTGTTTTCAATTCAAACTCTTGATCGTTCGGCCAATCGTTTGGTGTGAACTGTTGTTGCAAATGTTCCGAAAATAAATCCGCTTTTCTTGATTGGCTGTCCCTACTTGGTTCTGAAAATGCAGGGGCCGATTACTCGTGAAAGATGCTTAAAGATTTTTGATCAACTTCCAAAACGAGCC